CTCATCATCGTTTAGCCTTCCCTGGTAGAATATCCTTCATAGACCCCTGTACACTACTATACATTCATTGTAATCTCGAAGTTTGTTAATAAAAATAATATATAGAATACATTATAACGAACGAGGGTTTGTGGGTTGGTAGTGTGTCAATGATCTCAGGTAAGATAGACTTTCTGAGGTTTACGCGCTATCGTGTGGTATCTACTGTCTATGTTAGTATACTGGCTTGGAGGTGCAAGCATGAGGATCCTTGATTCGTACAGTCAAAGTTTTCATTATATGATGAAGGGAGATTTAGTCTTGAACTATGATCGGCGCAGTGGCAACTTATGTGTTTGGAGAAATTCGCCGAAAGAGCAATAAGATCAAGTCAGAACTCACTGGAATCTTGTTCGAAGGGATGAAACTGTGCAAGAGTTGTGCAAAGAACGGTCATGGGGAAGATAGAGTCTGTCTCATTAAATTGGAAATTGACTGAGATAGTCTGTTTGAATGAAATTAGGTGACACAGTGGAGAATTAATAAAACATTTGTTTGAACCTTAATCTATACCATTGCTAGATTATTGATTCATATTGTTTTTGCACAGTTCTCTTCTAATTCTTTGGAGGACTATGATCATGGCTAAGCTTCAACAGAAGAGAATGGAATTGAAATTTCTTGCAGTTCACCGGAAACCACTTTCAACCAACTTGTCATCTGTTAATCTTGAATAACAATTGCAACTTCATCAATTGTGTTTGTATTTTCGATGACAGAGAGCAAACGATGAATATCAGCTATCAAATGGAATGAATGCTGATTAGATGAAGCTTATCACGCCTCCTGATTATGAGAGTTATGAGCGAAGTAGGTCATCGATTACTGATTATGCTGACATAATGACTGATAAAGCAAATACGGAAGGAAGATTCATCAGAAGATTTTAGAAAATAATCAACAAAGGATTGGTGCAGCTTTTAGAAAAATATTGTATTTGAATTCTCCGAAAGTCCTCTTTCCAAAGCTGTTTAATCTGATCTCTGCATCCACACATGTCTAGGGTTGTCTCTCGTTTGAATGAACTGATGTCTAGAGGCAAAAATCATTAACTTCAATACATACCAGTTAGGAATGTGAATAGTTCGATCAAGGAGTTTTGGATTATTTTAACGGCGTACTGCTCTTTCAGATGATTTGTAAAAGAAAACTGCAGAGGGTCGCGTTTGAATTCCGCTTGATCACAGAAAGTTTCTTCCTGCTCATTGAAATGTCTTTTTGTCAAAAGATGATTATCACGTAAGGTTGAAGAGATGGGTGGAAAAAGACTTGATTGGTAGCCTAGGTGTTACTAATAGGATTATTCTGAGGTTGACGAGCTATGTGTATGAGATAGTTGGGCGGTGGTATTACTTGTATACGTTATACCAAACTAGAGTAGACGTCTACGCAACACAATCGTCTAGATGCCCTTGTTTTTATGGCAGGAGAATGTGTCTCCATAATTCCAATGACACACTTAAGCTCATCGACGAAGTTGAATCCTTTACAGATTTTCTTGAGTTCCTGACAACATTCACAAATTTTCCTTACTTTCTGCTTAAGAACGGCTTCCAGTGCCTGAACGTCAGTACTCCACTTGGTGATACCACTCTTAAGGCGGGTATCTTGATTAGTATTCTGGTCATAAAGAATTATCATACCATGTAGGATTTTTTCAACTTCTTTGGTAATTTTCACAGGCTTCTCTTTGGCCTGATAGTGAGTGGTGGACCTTTGAAAATATCCGACCCTACACTGGTTGTGAAATCAAGACCACAACGTTCATGACAGACTTTGTCAGTATATTGCATGCAAATCGTATTGTGATACTCGGTTTTCTCTATTTAAATACAATCAAACTCTTCATTTTTTATTTGTCATTTTCACACTTTTCAAAAAATCAGTTGATGTCGAAGGATGTCGATATACTCGTAAAGTGGTATTATAAAAATAGCCCGGAAACACAATAAATTCAAACAGGGGGGTTAACAAAGAACGGCTGGCGACCGAAGGCTTCGATTTGACCAAGAATGACTGAAAAAATAACATTCTGTATTACTGAATCTGATTCTGCTCAATAAATATGAAAATGAAATGAAATTTATATAAGACTCTATATTAAATGCAAAATTTTACTTCTCACCTGGAGCGGAAATCATCTCCAGTACGTCACCGAACTGTCTCGTCTCCTGTCCATCATAATCGCTTCCTTTTGCAATTCCCATCAAAAAACCGTTTTGTTTGGAGAAAACGCCACCTCAAAAATACGATAAATACTACTACACACTGAAAAAATGATAACCGATTATTTGGTTATCAAATGCTTCTATTGGTTGTATAAAAAATTTTAAAACTATGTATTTTCTGATTAAATGCAACTTCTACCTCCGCTGAAGCCAGGAAGACCTCTACTACCACCGTAGAAGAAACCACGATAACCGTTAGAAACCGAAGAGATGTGCCCAACGCGGACAGATATAGTCTTCTCACCGAACGCGCAACCCTAAAAATGAAGCAATAGTAATCTGAATGATGAATTATAAAAAGTAATTTACAAAGTTTGTCCTATTAATTATACTTGGAATAATCCTGAAAAAATGGGTGAAAAATGGGTAATTTACTCACCATGACAATATACTTGTCAATAAGCTGCGGAAACGTCAGTTCTGGTACACTGTTGAACACTCCATTGTCTTTCTTTAAAACAATATAATCCGAAATCATGCTTGCGCCATGTACATGCATATTGTGCTGCTCTCCCTGCTCATCATATAGAACCATCGGCGTGCCTGAAATATATTATTGACAATTTTGATCTTCAGTCAGACGTTCTAGGAATCTTACAATCCCTTGCTCGTAGCTTAACTTAAAGTTCCATACCATTTCGTCGAAAGCTCTCCGGTACGCAGTGAAGTGCGGAAACAGCAAAACTTTCAGCGATAACAACTGCGGAGATCCAACGACCATCACACTCCATAAGCATGCAGTATGGAGAAACTTTTTGTAATAAGGCTTGGTTCGACGCGCGTTCAAACATTCTGAAAACTTTCCATTAATTAGATCACTTATAGCAGATGATAATATAAAGTAATAAATACGGATATTGTTCAATGAACATAAACTTAATAAACATAATGAATGAATGCCACGGAGATCTGAACTAGCCCCCACCTTTCACTCTAAGGCGTTAGCGTGTTGCGTCGCGGGCGAATAGTTAAACTGGAGCAAATTTGTATATTTATTTTTCATTTAAATAAACAGCAATGAGATTCTTTAAATCATGAGAAAATACATCTTCATATATCTTTGTAACATGGAAAGAAACATGATATCACTTTGGAAGACCAAAAGAAAAAAGAAGATAAAAAGATAGGGGTCAACATAATTTTTAAACGAAAGGTAAATTGTTGGAAGAAAATAAAAAAATTCTGAAAGATATTTCAATATAATCTGGATTTAAGAGAATTTGATTCATTTTAAGAGGATATCAACATGAAGATCACATTCATTAAAATTGACAGGATTATTCGAAGAATCAACAAGCTTGAGAGTTAAAACATTTGGTCTCTCCATAAGTTTGCGATAAACTGGGTTAATTGGTTCATTTTTTTATTTTTTCAATATCTTAAATAATAGGAAACTTACAAATAACGTTGCTTTGTGTTTCATTGATAGAAGTATCACAAACTAGATTGCAAGATAGATAGTCAAAATCTAGATTTTTAATATCTTCTAGTAACTGAAGAATACCATCAACTTTGACTACTGCAAACTCATTTATTTCATTACTTAGAGGAAACTCGAATTGAAATATTTTTTCATTAGTTCTATGAAAGTTAAAAAAAATAAAGTTGTCGTTACGTCAGTAACCCCTTTGAAGTGCCTTTTATCAAACGAAATAGTTATCAATGAATGAGTTTGAGAAGCGACTTCAACGAATACATTGTAGAAAAGTCATTACCCAGAGCGAAATTATAATTCTTTACTTTCTTAAAGTATAAGAGGATGTATTATTACAAAGAGGGGATATGGAAAGACTAATTTGTTAATGAATGTATTACTAGACCAATTCAAAGGAGAAGCATACCTCGATTACAATAATTTATATATATTCAGTACAACTTCATTTCAGCTTTGTTATCAAGCATTAATTAATGGAAGAAATGAAGAATTGAGTAAAAAAGAAATTAGAAAGTGTTTTGAAAAGCAGGACTTCATAATTGAAGAAAAAGAAAATGCTAAGCCAATAATAAATGTAAAAACTTCATCCTCTAATGAAGAAGATATACCAGGATCCTAGCTCTATTGATATTTCTCTTAGCACCTTCATTATTTTTGATGATCTAATGCTTGAGTAGCAAAATAAGATAGAACAATATAATACTAGAGGAAGACACTCTGGTGTAGATTGTTTTTACATTTCTAAAAAATTATATAAAGCTCCCAAAGAATACAATAAGAGAGAATGCTAACTACTTCATAATATTTCCACATGATAAGATGAATTTGGATTACTTATACAGAGATCACTGTTCAGATATCAAGAAAGAAGAATTTCTCGAATTTTCGTGGTTTAGAGGTTTAGAAAATGTCTGAAATATTTTTACTTATTTTAATTTTGATCATCCTTTCTTAAAGAAATCCTTGAAATTTTCAATTTTGAATGTAAGCTATTTATTCTTCTGGTATTCCTTTCTTTAGTAACTTGGGAAATGTCTATCAATCCTATAGATTTAGGAACCTTTGATTCTTCCAATCCTCCACATTTAGAAATCTTTGATTCGAAATCATCGTCCTCCTTTTGGTTGCTCTGTTTAGAATGCTACTGGAATCCACTTTTGGTATCTCTATTTTTATAACTTTCTGGAGTTTCAAAATTTCTAATATTCTTATTTAAATAATCTACACTACAATCGATTTCTCTGCAGAATTTTGTTTTTGTAATCAATCCAGAGAATCCTAAAAACTTTAGTTCGAATGAAAATGAAGAAAAAAATAGAATATATACTGTCGTGCTGTATATATCCAAAAACCTTAAAAAATTTTTCTCTCTCACAAAGGCGGGGTTTTTTTTTTCTGAAAGAAACTCACATCTTTCAATGAATCACTCTTATGGTGGATACAAAACTATTTCCAATAATTTTCTGAGAAACGTTTATTCCATCATAGTGTTTCAAATAAAGAAGAAAACAAAGCACAAATTCATAAAAAGATTGGGACCAAAATTTTGAGAGAGACTCTCCCTTCTTAAGCAAAGAAGGTTAATGATGATGTGCTGTGTTGAATCTATTTGATTTGTTACTTCGACATGTATGGGAAAGATATTGAAGAGATTACATTCTTGAAAGTTTATCTGCAAGATGAGTAATATTTCTGATCATATCTTCCGCTTTGTCCCGGACTTCCATTGATGTGAGAGTACGAGCATTCGCCTTCATAGTGTCAATGACACTGCTCAGCTCATCCACGAAGTTGAATTGCGAACAGATTTCCTTGAGTTCCTGACAACATTCACAAATTTTAGTTTCTTTCTGCTTGAGAGCATTTTCCAGTGCCTGAATATCAGTACTCCACTTGGTGATCTCACCCTTAAGGCGGGTATCTTGATTCGTATTCTGGTCATAGAGAATTTTCATATCATGCAGGATTTTTTCCACTGTTTTGGTCGTTTTCACAGGCTTCTCCTTGGCATGATAGTGAGTTGCCGGTCCACATCCACAGACTCCGCAATAAGCAGATCCACTCATACATGCGCAACCTTTGAAAATGTCCGATCCAACACCGGCTGTGTATTTAAGACCACATCCTTCGTGACAGACTTTGTCAGTATGTTGCATGCAAATCGTATTGTGATATGATGTTTTCTCCATTTCCACACATTCCACCTTCTCATTCTGCTTATATTTGGAATACTTCTCCATATTTTCAGTAACTTCTTTCTGAGCTTCCTTAGCAGAATTCAGCTTGTTCTGCGTATCCTGTAGCTTCTTCACTTCGAGCAAGATTCCCGTGAGCTCTGACTTGATCTTATCTCTCTTCTTTCGCATATTCTTGAACGCATCAGTAGCAACAGTACCCAGGGTTTTCACTCTGAGTATCATATCATTGATTTCTTCTATCGACTCTTGCCAATCCTTCAGGAGGCCAGCCTTTCTTTTAATGTCGTTAATCCACAAGTCCTTTTGTTTGCTCAAGGCAGAGTTGTTCATGTAAAATACATTTTTCTCAGAAACCGTCCATGGCTCGAGAGATTCCAAATCGAAGTTAGCTGTAGACACTGAACAATTAGTGAGGACAACTACGAGGTTGTTCAGAAGTATATCCGGCACGGAACTTCTCAAACGAACCAAAGTGTTCCGCAGGTTTACGGTAGCTCTAGCCACCGTGCCATTTATGACAATGATAATACCAGCCATAGATCCAGTTTTCTCTGCAGCGATCATAATTTTTGAAATATGCTGATCATCTCTCTCTGTTCCTTCAGTGTCGCTCAAGCCCGGTGTGTCGATAAAGTTGTAAAGACAACTACCTTTTGTGAAACCATAAGTAGTACATTCACTGGTCTTGCTCTTCTTTGCATCTTGAAGATCTTTCTCAGAGGATTGATACTCCTCTGTCGCCTCGTAGTGCTTGGTAGGAATAGCGATTCTCGGTTTTTCAAGTGATCCGCCATGAAAATAGTTTGTCAGATAGTTGATCAGCGTAGATTTCCCTGAGCCTGTTTCTCCAATCAACAGGATGTTACATGATGTCGGCATGATGATTTTGTGAAGTAAATCTGAAAGAAGATAACTAATTCATTATGTAGATGTAGCCTGAATTCATTTTAAATTAAGTGGTTATAAGAAAGTGTCCTACATAAAATTTGGTTTAAATTTGGTTTGAGGTTATATCTGAGACTTGGTTTTCGAAAGCATTTCTCTGATGTTCAAAATCATAAAATTCAGATTTCAATGTCTATGCTCAGTTTTGAAAAGAATGAATCTTATCTCTCCATTATATGAACATTACAATCAGATGAATGAGATCAGACTCGAATACATAGTACAAGGATAAGTGAATGTTGTAAGTAGAAAACCGAAGAAACGATGAAAACTTAAATCAGCAGTAAAGCAAGAATTTTAATTTTTCATAATGACTGGTGTTATCTCTCTTAACAAGGTTTTATATGAAAGACTGAGTGAGTCAGGCATTCTTTTTTCAGTCATTTACCAAAAGACTGATTTAAGACATTGATAGCAGCTCAAAGTTGTAGCAAAGTAAATAGGGGAGAAAACTTTATTTTGATCAATGACAACTAATATATGATGTCATTTTTTGATAAATATTATCTCAGCACAGAGTTTTATGTTTTATAATTGAGTATGTATAGAAACTCTTCATTATACTAATCTTTTAACTCCATTTTCTCATT